TGGGGAGGGACAGGCTGCTGAAGGGGGGTGGTCTGGGACTGAGGTGAGGGAGAGGGGTGGGAGGAAGGCGTTTCGACCAGGTTACAGGGGGCTGAGTGCGGCAGAAGAGACCCCCACACACCTTCCTTTCCCTGATGGTGTCAGGCAGGCTTTATTCCTCTCCCACAGTGGAGACATGAGGGAATGGGAGACATGGAGAAAGCTCCAGCATGGGGGTGAGCCCCCCTACGCCTGCGGGGAAGGCCCTGACACTCATGCTGACCGTGGGGCCCAGGACTCATCCCTGTGGGGACAGCCTGTGTCCCCTCACAGCCTGAGCTTGTTTGGGGCCTCAGAGCTGTTTCTTGCCCTGGTGTATAGGGGCTGTGAGCAGCAATCCCAGATGGGAGAGCAGGGGTGGTGCTGGGCTCCCAGGTGCCGGCAGCTGGTCTCCTTCCCGTTCCTTTTCTTTTCTCCAGCGCTCCCAGCAGCTGAAGCATTCAGTGTGTGTGGCCCAGCCACCGCGCCGCTTGACCTCTGGCCTGCCTGTGAATATCGGGGTGCTCTTTGTGCCGCAGCAGGAGGCTTGGGTGGTGGAGAGGATGGGCAAGTTCCACCGAATCCTTGAGCCTGTAAGGAGCTGCTTTTCTCCCCTTCTGGATTCAGCAGGTTCCTAAAGCTGTAGTGAGGCACATCCTTTGCGCGAGGAATGGTGGGGGGGGGGTGCTTATTCTTCCAGGTTGAAATCCTTTAGACTGCCTATAGACTAATTTACCTTGGTGGGTTGCTAAAAGCACTGAGAAACCTAAATTCCCCCCATGTGTAAAGCATGTTTGCTCTGCCTGCAGCATCTGCAGCATGCAGCATACTTGGGCTTTGTTTGCACAGCTCTTGCTAGTCTGACTGAGCTCTCTGGGGAAAAACCTCAGATTAGAGGGCTCAGCCATCTAATCCAGCCCTTTTCCCAGGGTTTGAACTTCCTCATCCCTCTGCTGGATCGGATTCGTTATGTGCAGAGTCTCAAAGAAATTGTCATTAATGTCCCAGAGCAGTCAGCTGTCACCCTCGGTAAGGAATAGCTTCCATGTCCTGTCCCTTTCCTTCTGCTATGTCTGGGGTGAGCAAGGGAGAGCACGGGGAGGAGTGGAAATGTCCCAGGCTCCTGTGCTCAGCCCTGTTCCTGGGGACATGGGCTTGACCATAGTCCTGGTGCTGTGCACAGGGGCACCCCAAGATGTCCCGTCTGCCCTCGGGGATGCGGCTGCACCTTCTTGCTGGGTTGAATGCAACTGGGCAGGAATCCCTTATTCAGATGTTTTCCTTTGTTGAACCACAAAAAAAATCTCTGTTTCTGTAAAAAAGACTTCAGATCAGGTTAGCTCGGTTACAATTCTGGTGTTAAGCTTTTTGGTTTTGTTTTCCCCCACCCTTAAATCTTTGTTTATGAAGATAACTACAGCATGAAATGTCTTTATCTGGAAACCTGAGGCTTCTTACGTATTAAAACATAAAAATGTAGTGTTTTCTAGGGAATGTCAAGGTCCTTTTTACAAAGCCTTTTAGATAAGGAGATCTGTTTCTGTCAGTCCCTCTTCCGTGCCATGCTGCTGACACCAGGAAGGAAAGGGATGACCTTGCCCAGTTCTGCTAGTTCTGTCGGGGGAGAGGGCGTTGCCATATTTTGTCTTTGCTGCTTCAGTAAACAGGACATGTTGTTTTCTCCTGGCAGATAATGTCACCCTGCAGATTGATGGTGTGCTCTATCTGCGGGTTATGGATCCCTACAAGGTACCGTCCCTGCTGTGCCGACACTTGGCCTGAGTCAAACCTTCAGACTCCATGGCTGCGCCCAGCACGGTCTGTGTCTGCTGTGCTGCTCAGCTGGCCACCTTGGCAGCCCCTCGGGCACCGCTCCTCTGGCTCTGCTGGCTCCCTTCTCCCCACAGTGTGTGCTTCAGCCCCTCCCCAGCTTGCTGCGCCCTGTGAGGCGCGTGGGCTGAGCACCCTGATCCCTCCCGAGGCTCTGGGACTCCTGCTTTTCTTTGGCAGGGGTGTCTGTGGCAGGTTTCTCGTCTTAGTGCTATGTTTGCCTGTCCTGCCTCGTTCAGGGTCCCTCTCGGCACTGCCACCGACTCTGTTTTTTTGCTTCTGCTCTCCAGGCCAGCTACGGCGTAGAAGATCCTGAGTATGCAGTGACCCAGCTGGCCCAGACCACCATGAGATCTGAACTTGGCAAACTCTCCCTCGACAGAGTCTTCCGGGTGAGCTGGGGAGGTGGATCATGGAGCTGCCAGTGTCGCCCGAAACGCCAGGGCAGTCTGCACAGCCAGGCTGATACGCTTAACAGCAAAACACCCTTTGCTTTGAGGGCTTCTGGCTTCTGTTTCAGTTGACCTATCAGTGAATCCTTGGAGATGGGTCTTGTTTTGGTTATTTGTTTTTAATGGGAGCTCTTTTTAACCCTGCCCTGGGTTAGCTGGAAAGGGTGATGGGTGGCATGTGCCCAGACCCAGCTGGTCCAGCTGTGTTTCTGTTGAGTAGGTGACTCTTTGCTCAGGCCCACTGATGAATGTCCTGGCTGACCCGGTTCATGGCGGGGCTGTAAACCTCATGCTGTGTTTGCTGGGCAGAAACAGGAACTGTTGGCGTTCCTGGATGATCTTTGTATCCAGATGTACACCAGATGTTTGTATCCCAGCAGTTTCAGTTTGGGGCACTGCCTTCCCTAGGAGACGGTGACCCCTTCAAGAGATATGGGTAGCACTTGACCCTGCCTTACGCCTGTGGAGATGGATTTTCCTGGCTGACGTGGCCCATGAAGGGGAGTGTTTGTTTCCCTCCTGACTCCTGTCTCATGCTAAGCACCTCTTCTTTGCTCTCTGCCATTTTTTTTCATGCCTCCCAGGAGCGGGAGTCCCTCAACGCCAGCATTGTGGATGCCATCAACCAGGCTTCAGACTGCTGGGGCATCCGATGCCTGCGCTACGAGATTAAGGACATCCACGTTCCCCCACGCGTGAAGGAATCCATGCAGATGCAGGTTTGGTTCTCTGGGAGGGTGGTCTGGAACAAGAGGGAAGTCTCCCGTGCCCACACCATTGTTATCTGTCCAGAGCTGGCAGCACTGGCCCCTCCTGTGGTGAGGGAAGCCCGATGGTACTTCGGCTGCAAATGTACAGCTATTGGATAAATAATTCCCCTCCTTATTTTGGTGGTGGTGGCCGCTGCCTGGTACACAGAAGCCCTGCCAGCTCCCTTTAAAATCCCTACTGGGCTCTGTAGGAAGCAAATCCTGGAGCTGAAGGTCTCCCCTTGAGAAGAGCTGGGTGCTGGGTCTCCAGGCTGGAAGGGAAGGAGGGGGAAGCGGCTGCCCAGTTAGGTGTGGACTGGGCTGCAGAGGGCTGTGCAGCGTGAGGAGCAGAACCAGCCCTCAGCGGGGATCACGCGATGTTTTGTAGCTGTGTGCTCATACTTTGCGAAGCCACGCTTGCCCAAGCGGGTCTTAGGAGTGTGTCCTCACTATGCTTGCCCCTCGGATGGGATTCCCCAGTGTGCCCGTGGCAGGCTGGTGTCTGACCTGTGTTTGCAGGTGGAGGCAGAGCGACGGAAGCGGGCGACAGTGCTGGAGTCAGAGGGGACGCGGGAATCAGCTATCAACGTGGCTGAGGGGCAGAAGCAGGCCCAGATCCTGGCATCAGAAGCTGAGAAGGCCGAACAAATCAACAAAGCTGCTGGTAGTGCCTTGGGCTAGAACATGTGGGGCCTGGGGGATCCATAGCCCTCTGCACCGAGGAGCGATGCTCCCAGGGAGCAGACTGCATCATTGTCTGTGGGCCAGGCTTCCTCAGCCACGCTGATCCTTCCCTGCCAGGGCCCTCGGGCTGAGCACCAGCTTGTGTTGCTGCCCCGCAGCCCAGAGCAGCAGGAGGTGTGTGGCAGGAGTATTGTCTTGCTGCTGTTGGGGAAGAGGGAGCTTTGCATGCATGAAATCATCTTGATTCGCTCCTTGCAAGCACTTTGTCGCAGTTCTGACGCGCGTTCTGCTGTGGTTCGTTGCAGGAGAAGCCAACGCCATGCTGGTCAAGGCCAGGGCCAAGGCAGAAGCTATTCAGCTCCTGGCAGCCGCTCTGGCACAGCAGGTGAGAGATGGGTCTTCAGGGCAGCCACTGCTTTTGTGCTGGCACTGGGGGAGGCAAAACCAGGGCCAGGGTGGCACCCGTCTTTCTTGTGGATACTCCCTGGCATCTTCAGCAGCAGCGAGCGAGGAGTTCTGCTGTTTTGGGGGCCTCGACCAGCCGGGGCGGGCTGGGGACAGGGACACGCATGAAGCTCTTGGTGGTATGTGACTCGCTGCTGAGCCTCGTCCCTCTCTTCCCCAGCACGGCAGCGCTGCTGCCTCTCTCTCTGTGGCAGAGCAGTATGTGAGCGCCTTCTCCAAGCTTGCGAAAGAGTCCAACACCCTCCTGCTGCCCGCCAACACCGGCGACATCACCAACATGGTTGCCCAGGTCAGTGTGGTCAGAGGGACCCGGTTTCTTGCCCTGGGGGAGGTGAAGGTGGCAGCCTGGAGGGGCCTGGCCCTCTCCTCTCCTCCTCCTGCTCCTCCCATCGCTCTCTCATTCCCTCCAGGCCCTGGGCATCTACACCACGCTGACCAAGCCGCAAGCCACAAAGACTGAGGACGAGATGCCCCCAGCCCATGAAGACCCCCAGCTGCCCATCACAGAGGTGCTTAAGGCAGAACAGGCCAGCTCCAGCTAGCGGGGACAGGAGGATCCCGCACCCTCACCTGGGGTCTGCCGGGCTGCCAGCAGTCCTGTCCTGCTACCCTCCCTGGTCAGACGCTCTTCTTCTTCCCTTGGTCCTTATTTTGTATTTGGATTTAAATCATGTAATAAATGGTACTGGTGCTGCTGGAGCATGTCCCCTGGTGCTCAGGAGCCTGACCCATGACCCCACTGCCTGCCACCAAAGGGGCACCATCCCTCCTAAGCAGGCTTCTGCCAGGAGCTCCCACAGACGTGCCGGTGGGGGGACCCCTCTCCTTGGGGGGGAGGGGGGGGACCCCTCGCTGGGACGTGAGCTCCTGTCGTCGTCCCCTCGCTCTCCCCGTAGCTGCCCCTGCGGTGTGTGACGGTGCCTTCTCTATCGCGCGCGCAGCAGGGAGGGAACGTCTCTGGCGATTAATTAATTGCGGGGGGAGGTGGGGGGGTTGGGGGCGGCGGTGCTCGGGGGTCCCCCCACGCCGAGGCAAGCGAGGACCCCCCCCCCCCCCGGGCGGCTCCCGGCCGCTAGGGGGCGGTGCCGCCGCCAGCCCTTCGCCGCGCCACCGCTCTTGGGCGGCCGATGCCACGCGAGGC